TTACCAACAATAGATATTTATTATCAACTATTTTCTGCATTTGTGGGTAACTAAGTAAAAAAGATTACTGCTGTCTTGGCAACAGGAGCTTAGATACGCATGGACTGAATTTTTAATTACACAATCAAAGTTACCTGCTTTACAGTACTGTGTGTGTGTTTGACTGTGCGCCTGCCTCCAGATGCCACATTCATTACGATATTCTCCTTTGCATCAAAGACAGTAATTGTTCTCCTCCATTCTCTCACAAAATGAACCTGCTTATAACCTGAGATATGAATATTTGTCTTTCTGCACCACTGAGGGCTCTCTAATTTTGTATTTAAATTATCCACCCACCCTTTTTTTTTTCTCTTCAAAAGCATCGTTTTATGGATCCATATACATCAGTTACTGTCTGGCAGCCAGCTCATGTGTAAACGCTTGATTCACTTCGCTCCTGCAAGATTCCTGTAAAATTTGCCTAGAATACCTCATTTTCCTCCTGCTGTTATGATTGTATCTTGAAATAGTTTGTGTCACTCGAATCTCAAGAATCTTAGCTTTCCAATGATATGTTGCATTAGTACACACACACACACACACACACACACACACACACACACAGGATTTGTTTACACAGTTGTGTACTTTGCAGTTGGAGATTGTTCATTTATTACTGAAGCTGAGTGATGACATCATCATGTAAAACTTCAAGTCCCACATTCAGGTCCAGACTTTCCTACTTTACTTTCTCCTCTTCAGAATTGTCCCAGTGGGTTTGAACATAAATCAGGTGCTAGGTGACATAAAACCAATAACTAATCATTGCTATCTTATATTAGCAACTTTTTTGTGCTTCAACTGTTGCTTCATATTGAGTTTTACGTCACATTTTTCATTCATCCACTCAGACTGCTGACTCATACTAATTGGCTCCAGTAGTAGTTTTTTCATTGTATATACACAAATTTGTGAATTGTCAATGTCTCCATCACTGAAATTTGTACAGATTAATTAAAACTAAATGCTATATGTTATTATTTAAGAATTAACATTTTTATGTCCTTGCATCCATAAAATCTTATCCCTAAGGAGCTTTCTACTGAAAATGGTTTAATTTAGATAAAATAGAAGAAATAGAAGGAAACTCTAAACCTTGCACACGTTACAGCTTGAAAAACATCACAGCAAGAGCTGTGATGAATAGACAAGCTTGAAGTCTGCTGTACTTCAGGCTTCACAGATAAATCCTCACTCTACGTGAATCTTGGCTTTGAGAGATTTACACTCTGTGTGACTCGGCTTAGTGGTTTTTTTAGGCCCTTGAATCACAACCTTCACCATTTTCCATTCACTTTTCCCTTACCCTCAAGATGATCCTGAACAAAGAAGACACATAAGTGCCGATGCGCCACAGCAAGGGTCGTGTACTGACAAGTAGACCTTAACTGGAGATGATCTGTCCTGGCACAGATACGATGACACAATACTGAAATGGGGCCACCCATAATGACTTGATTCTGTTGGCCATGCCCCTGATGTTTATCATTATTATCAGTACATTTACTGGCCCTTGGTTCTGAGCATTACTTAGCACAACTGCACTCACTGGTGCTTATGGAGCTGATGTTTGCCTCACAAGTGCTGGAGGCAGTGCTTATACTGACTGCTGGCAGCAAACACTCACAGTAATTGATTTTTTGATGAAAAAAGTTGTCTACAAAACTTTTTTTTTTTTTTTTTGTGCTGCACTTCTTGGTAATAGTATACTTTTTTTCATTTCCCTCGCAGCAACACATGAATTTGGAAGAAAAAAATGATTAAAAGTGAAGAGAAATTTGACTGAGTGGGAGAGTGGCAATAACTTATTTCTTTTTATTGTAACTAAATGCAATGAGGGTTTTTTTTCATTCGTTTCTATTGTGGAGCCCATTTAGCTGCAGGTCTTACATGAGTAGAATATAGACATGAATGGATAGATGGTCCTTTCACATTTCTTATGAGTGGCTCTTTCCCGTCTGCTGACTTTATTTTTCAGTTTGTTTGATCATAGAGATTGCATTATCTGTGTGCACTCATTATGTCCTTCCCTGCTCTCTGTTAAGGGGAAAAGTTTGTTGGCTGGAAAGTGTAGGCGTATTTTAACCAGCCATGCCTAACATTAAATACCTTTGTGTATTGGTGAAACTGTCAGCAGCACACATTACTAAAAGATGATCTGTGAAACACTTCTATTTACAATGAGTAACCTTCTGCCCTGTTTTATAATTGCCTGCACATTCAGGACGAGCTTTGCTTTTTTTTTTTTTTCTCTGCAGCTGACTGTGCAGTGGAGTCACCTTTTCTTTTTTTTGTTTAGACAGTGAGAGAGGAGAGAAAGGATGCTGTGATGACACTGAATTCAGGACAGTACGACCCAGTCTTCCACTTGCCTCAGCTGGATATGCACAGTACTGATTAATGTTCCCTTCAGCCTTTGTTAACCATTTAAAGGTTATTAACCAATTACATCAATATCTACATTTTTAGCTGGAGTCCTTAACGTGAATGTCTGTGACTGACTGAGTGAGTGATAGAGTTGAGTAAGTGATGGAGTTACACCATTGGTCAGCTGAATGTCACATGACTGAGTGATAAGGTTACACCATTGGTCGGCAGGCCGAGTGTTGGAGTTTCCTCATTGCTCGTTGCTCATTTGAAATAATTTAGCACGAACAAGCAGTGTTGCAGTTCTGATTTCATACAGGAGATATGAAGAGGAAAGAAGGACCATGGTAACGGGGCTAGAGAGTCAAGGCCGAGTGGAGACCAGGATTAAAGATGTGCTTGAGTGTGGGGACACAGTAGAGGCAACCGGACCAATTGCAAGATTATAATTGATAATTAAAACCAGAAGGAGGCAGCAGTGCAACATAATGGATGCCAATTGCTGTAAAACAGGCTTTCCCTCCACAGACATACCTCTCTGTGCTGACTGCATGGCATTTGATGTGAATGACTTTCTAATTTTCTCTCAGAGTGATCATTTCACAAACAAATTTAGCCGAAATCACAGCAGTACCATTGACTTTATATGGTGTATGGTGATTTTGTCAGTTGACGTCACAGTTATAATAGTGCTGAACAGCGGCTTGGAAATGGCTCGGAGGTGAACATGTAGTATTAATGGGTGTTTCAGTCACTATTTCACACTTTTTCACTGTCTAACAACAGAAACAGAAAAAACATGTAAATGAGAACAGCTTTATGGGGAATTCAGTATATATATCTATATGTATGTATATATATATATATATATATATATATATATATATATATATACTGTATATACTATACTATAGTTGACCTAGTGTTGTTGTAGATATCACTCTATAACATTTATTTTCCCTCACACAGTGTAGTCCATAGTCTATTTTTAGCTGAGGCTGTATGATGCTCTGTATTGTTGTCTATTACATTGTGCGTTAAATGTCAGCCAGTGTATGAACTCATCAGGGTTCTCTTCAGCACAGCACTTTATTGATAGAAAGGTCATCCAGGATGAATAAGATCACCATGGTTACGCAGGAAAAGAAAAGTGGAAGCTCCTATTTTATTTTATGTCTTCTTTGTCCACCACAGTCTCTGCAAAGACTGGATGCAGCCTCACAAGCCTTGTAAATGAAAGGAATAAAATGACAACACAGTGGGTTGTTTTCTTTTTTGCCAAAGTGTCCTCTAGACAGCAGAGGATGCCAGTGTGGCTTCAGGATTATTTTCAGTAGAAAAATAATAATAAAAAGAAAAAAGAAAAAAAGATGCAATGAAAGGTCTGCAGTTTGAGACTTTGATGTGAGCGGCGTCCCACTGTGTGCCTTGTGCTTGAACATTTCTCTGCAGAAAGCACCTGAGAAGAGCTGTGTGACTAACAAGATTAAAGCAGATTGGAGCTTGACAAGCAACAATAAATGTACAGGCTGATTTCTCTACTCAGATGTAAGTGCCCTTTGAATTCCCTTTACATCTAGTCTCCTCTTCCCTGGTTGTGCGTCCCGACCCTTCGCACTGCCACCTGCTCCTTTTACCAGATGCTTTGCTTTCACCTTCAGTTCACCTTTGAAAAACAAAATATAAGCCATGTATATATATATATATATGTGTGTGTGTATGTATGGAAGCATGCTGTGTCATCATACAGAGCTCTGTGCCCTGTCTTTTTTAGATGGAACGAATTTGATGTAATGTTTTCCAAGATATGGTTTAATGCAGCCGTAGAGATTGCCTTGTCAGTATTCACACGCTGTCACCTCATTATTTTATGTTTCCGCTGTGGTGGTAATAGCCACTCAGTATCAGCAAGCTAGATACAGTTATTCCAGGACTTTAATTAATTTGAAATTGTGCCATTCAGCACATTTTCAAATTTGAAGAATTAAAAATTTCATGCTGAAAAACAGCTTCAGTCTTATTCTAAACACGTTTCCTACATTTGTGCCTACCTCAGAAAGGTTTCAGTTAACAAGAAGGAATAAATACTTATGCGTTCCCTTTATTCAAGAGGAAATAAAAGGAACATTAATCATAGCTATAAAAAAGAAATGGTGCAACTTTTTTCCTTTTAAGAAGCACTCAACTATGTTTGAAGCCATATTTTGAAACACAGGAGTTTCTCCTTTTTTTTTTTTTTCACCCCCTCAAAATGCAGTGAAGGTCTACTTGAAATGAAAGTGACAAGTAAATACAAAGTCATAAATGGTAAAGATTGATATTTATTTCTCATCACAAATAAAAAGAACCATGCTTACTCATCACAGAAAGAAAAAAAAAAAAAGAGAAGCGCTCAGTCCTTGTATCTTTACCGACCTTGCTGCCGGAGTGTTTTTTGAGAATGTGAATAATAGCACTCTATGAAGATTGAAATTCTTTAAAAAATCCAAGCCTAAGCCCGTAACACTGAAGCTCCCAACCCACACCTCATACACCCTGTACCCAGCGCCCCCCACCCCACCCCTCCCACAGCTCCTGTGCCCCTCCCCGAACAATGATCACAGCATTATTTGAGTGGTTCAGTCCAAGGGCGCTCAGTCCCCAGAAGTCTTAATAACCTGGAACAGTGTGACATTATAGAGCACCTGGTGTCCGTTGTTCCAGGTGTACAGGACCCTCTCTCTGGGGTTGTAGTCCATCATGGAGATGTGGGAATATTGATTGTGGAAGGGGATGTCTGTGTACTCGTAGCTCGATGTGTTGGTGTAGTAGGCAAAGTAGATCTTGGCACCAGCTAGGTGGGAGTTGGTGACGTAAAGTGTACCGCAGATCATGAACGACTCTCCAGCGCTGCGCTTGGGAAAACCCGTGTCCCATGTCTGCAGCACCTCCAGACTCTGGGGCTCCAGGCGGCTGATGACAATGTTCCCCGCGTTGGGGATGGTGGTATAAACGGCCCACAGGCCATTTTCATCTGCCATGAGGTCGATGTCAGAGGAGCCACCCCAGGAGTAGGGAAAGGTGTTGTTGTAGCCGGCCCCGCTCAGGCTGCGCTGCACCAGCACACTTCGAGAGCGGAAGTGGTACTTGATGATGATGTTGCTCTGGTACTTGTTGTAGTACAGTGAGCCGTTGTAAACCACGTGGCCAGTGCCTGCCCAGGGGTGCGGCAGCAAGTGCTGCACAAAGTTCTGGCCCTTCATGAAATCATTCATGGTGCGGTATTCCAGGACACGACGTCCCTTGAAGTAACCATCCATAGACCACACCTGTGAAGAGAAGACAGAATGAATCCCATTGGGAAGAAGGGACAAACTGAAGGAGTTAATTAGAAGATCTAAAGGTTATAGGAGAATATTGTTGCGCTGTACATGACACACCTCTCTGCAAGAACACCGAGCAATATTTCACTGTAGCCCGCAGCAATGCCCTGAGCAAAGTTAGGGGTAAACCTCTACTTGTTTGAGTGCGAGTGTATGTCTTCATGCAGCTGTGCGTACTGTGTGTGCAGAACTCCCGATGTGTCCTGCGTTGTCCTGTGTGTGAGTGAAGATGTTGCCTGTGCTTTGCAGTCAACCACTGCTTGTGCTCCCTGCCCTTTCCAGTCCACATTTACAGAAAATCAATCCATTTAGCAGCTCTGTCTTTTTCCTCAAGCACTCTCAGCGGATCTCTCCACTGACACGGCCCCTCTCTGGCTGCAGCTCCCATCTCATTCTGTCAAGGCCTCCGTCGGAGCACAGTTCAGCTTTTAATTGATTCAATTAAACTGCAGTTGGCGTGGATATTTGTTTTCTTCTTAACGTATCAAGAAGAACTTTGCAGCGATGTAGCCGTCAGTCTTTTGATGTTCTACCCACAGTTATTTCTCTCTTTTCCTGCTCTTGCCTTTGTCTCAGGTGGAGGATAGGTACTTTTCTTCAATAATAGTTCCACCGGGGTGTGGGGTGGGGGTATGGGAGGAGTAGGGGGTGGTGAGGTACAGCAGCTGAATTATGGAGAAGAGGAGATTATGGAGCATTAAGCATTGTTTCTCCTCTGCCTGCTAAATGAGTCCCTAGAGCTGAGAAGGAAGGAGGCAGGAGCTGAGCCAGGCCAAAGCCATAGCACATTTAGAGCACTTTTTTTTTCTTTTCTTTTTTTTTTTCTTTCATCTGTTTTGCTCCTCAGCGACAATGACGTTTCCCCAAATATGATTATCATGATTGGTGCGGGTGTTGATATGATATTGCTGATGTATCATGGCTATTAATACAATCAGTGATTGATCTAAAGAGTCTAATGTGATCTCAGCAAGTCAAGTGATTAAAGACAAAGATCAGAGCATTCAATCACAGAAATTGACCTTTTCTGCCAGAGATATCTATTTAGCCTGTTATGATTCAGGGTGGAGATGAAAAAGGCCACCCTCATCCCTCCTCTTGAACTTCATCAGTTTCCATTCTCCCCTGCAGATGGATAACACTCCACTCTCCTCTTTCTTTTCTTCCCCCCCTCCGTGTCTTTTTCCTTGTGTTCCATACCATGTCCCCACCCATACAGAACCACATGCCATTTCTAATCAGCTGGAGCACTCACTATATCATTCGGGTCCAGAGCATCTCAGCACACTTTTGGTAATTACCTGGGTGATTTAAAAAACTTAAGCACAAACAACTCATTCATTTCTCCCCTGATGACGTAGTGATTAATCAGCTGGAGCTGCCATGATGGAGGAAGACAGGGAGGAGGGAAAGGGGATGCTATCCATCAGTGACTCAGCTTTGCATCCCCATTTCTCTCTCTGTCTCTCCTCCTCCGGAGCGCACCAGAAGTCCTACTCAGGCAAAACAGTCAATCAGCCACTAAAGTATCATGACAGCATTGCTGTGAGGGATATTTTTTCCATTGAGCAGCTGATAGAGTTCGGCCTGTTTTTCATAATGACTTTTTATGCTCTGTGTCTGTTGAACTATAAAGTCGACAGTAGGTATTAAAAAGGTAAGAGTTGAGAGGTGTGAATAGAAACGACTCACTCTGTTGTCTGAGCTGGGGATCATGGTGTCTGTCATCCAGGAGCCGAACCTTGACCCTGATGCACGTACTGTGATGGGATTACTGACCCCAGTGAGCTTCCCACAGCCTGGAGGTCAAGGAGGGGGAAGAGGAAAGATGGGTATACAGTTGTATGTATGTCTATATAGAGAGCAGATAAACATGTGCACATTGTGGCACTGTTTACGCAAGAGACTCTTCACTTTTTTGCAGATGACACTCATATGTATATAAATGCAGGTATATACTATAGATGGATGGATGGATGGATTGATACATTTTTTTTTGACTCAGCAATAAATATTGCATTTACAATGGATGGATATGATCATTTGCAGTTTACCTGGAATGTTAAATTCCAATCCCTGAAATGTCAGTGGGATATAAAACAGGGTTGGGGTTTAAGTAGCATTGAATCTGAATCTTTTTAAATCGCAATCCAAACTACTCAGGTTTAGCTTTCAACAGTTTTAAGAACCAAAACATGAATAACCTCATGATTAAGAATGAAAATTTATATTTCAAGAGCTGCTGTTACATATCTGCTATTTAGACAAATAGGTGAGCATTTTGTACAATGGTCTGTTGTTTCCATTTTCAATTGAATCTTCAACTGTAGCTTCACTTAGCACATTGTGTTGCGTTTTAATATCAATTAATTGATTTATTTGTTGACTGCAATTTTTTACTGAGGGACTTTTAAAATGGTTTCTGTTATCATCTTAGTTTCTTTTTCTCTTCATAAAAATGATGTAGGAATGAATATGTTCAAGCGTAACAAGTAGTTATTGTTTCTAATTATTATCTCTCTGTGTGAAGTCACATCCTTTATGCAAAAGCTTAAACCCAATGGAAGACAATAAGAAAACACTAATGACCTGAAGGCTAAACTCTTTAACTGCAGTCTTTTTCTGTTAAATCGTTAGTTTATATATGTGGGATTTTGTAAAATCATCAGTTTAAGATAACACATTACATGAGAATATTATCAATTATTCATTCAGGCTTTCTAGGCCAGCTTTTCTTAATTTATGCAGGTAATTCAAACTCTTAGCGGAAATGATGACAATGTGCGACAGAGTTTTGACCAATGATGATATTGAATTATTAGCCATTAGGTCCCCTCTGGCATTCAGTGCTTACACAGCCACCTACCCACACCCATTTGCATAATATTTTATACCTAGTTTCTGCATGCAGGAGTGGAGCCTGGTCTCCAGCAGCAGGACTCTCTGGCGCAGCTCCTCATAATCGTAGGCCCCCATCTCCTCTTGGATGGCCATCAGCACCAAGGACAGATTTCTCACCTCCTCCCGAAGACGCAGGATCATCTTGGCATCAGCCTTGTACTGTTCCAGCACTGGCAGCAGGGGGAGCAGCTGGGTCACCTTGTCTTTCAGCTCCTGAGATAGTCATCACAGAGAGGGAGGACATGGAAAAGCAAAAAAAGGGGTGGGGGAGGCGGTGGGGTGGGGTGGGGGAGCAGGAGGATTAAACCCTGTGAGAATAAAGAGGACGGGGGGGGGGGAGGTCGACCATGCTACTACTGTGCAGGGGGATTGTGTGCAGAGGGAGCTATAGCCTTTCAATCTTCAGTTGTTGCTTCTGGTTCAGAGCTCATCTCTCAATCAGGAACTCGTATAGTAGCTGGTTGTGGGTTCATCTGTTTCTCCCTTTAGCACCGAGATTTATCACTCATAGCAGAACTGCACCAAGGTATAATTTACTGTATCATTTCCGTGTATCCCTGATATTTTGGGAAATGGCTATATCCTAGATCGCAGTCTTCTTCTCCCAATATTTATGTCCCTTAAATTGAACAATATGTTCTCATTTGCCTGCTTGTTTTGCTACTGTAATGATCAAGCTTCCACCCACTTCGTTAACTTGTGTAGGCTTCTTTGTATGATCTGTAAGTACAGATTTATCTCCATTTACAATCCTTTTGTACGGACTGAAAAGCCACTTAACTTACACGGGCTCGGTCTGATACAATTTTCACCTACAGCAAGTAAAACGGTGCTGCTGGGAATAAACTTAGTCTGTGACTCATCATATGTTTAGAGGTGCAAAGAACAATGTGTCCTTAGGTAGGAGTGCAGGAAGCAGCAGGAGAGCCGGGCTGCCTGCGTGGAAGGTAGAGGGCTCAAGAGAGAAATAAGTGTATCCGTAAAGTGTGGCCGCCACAGGAGGGGCTGTTTCCTCCTTGTTAAGGTTTATCGTAAATCTGGTGATGGAGCAGCTCTCAGCCCTGTGGCGCCACATCATAAATCTCATTTTCCCCTTTTCAAGCCGTGAAAATTCGCTCTCGTTAATCTCCCACGCTCTGCCATAGGCAACTTTGAGCTGCATGCATTCATCAGCCAACCTGCTCTGGTCAAATCCTGCTCTTGTTTTTTTTTTTTTGTTTGTTTTGAATACTTTTTTTTTATTTATTGGATTGCGGATTTGCATTCAGACATCTCCTGGAATATAATTCTCACCATTCTGCATATTTTAGTCATCTCAGACCTTCACTGATGAATTGGCTTATTTCATAAACATCCTCATTACAGCCATTGGAATAGTTTTCATAAAACACACTGAAAGCACAACGCTGCCGTTCATGCTCGTCCCTGTGCTGGAGCAGGGTCCTGGCAGTAAAGCACACTTCATCATGCATTTATCAGAGCATCTTTTAATCAAACTATTTTATGGTCTATCTAATATCTGTAAGAGTTTGAGAAATATGGAGAGAGCCTGGGCAAGACAGCCCGCTGACAGGAAGACAAAAAGGGCCCGCTGATAATGGCAGCTGAGTCTTAGCTTGTAGAGAGATAAGGTAGAGATAAATGTGAATATATGTGCTCGCTATCTAAGAGCAGACACCAGAATGTTAAGTATATAGAGTGAGGAGAGAGAGGGAAGGATGTAAGGGGAGAAATACAGAAAAAAACACTCTTCTTCTAGGTCCAGGGGTTTAATAATTCAGATGCAAGTGAATTTGCTCAAATTTCCTCTGCGCGTGACTCAATGACTCAGAGATAGTTGCGGAATTGAATTTGTGTACCAGTGCTTATGTCTGCAGTCTGTCGAGAGTCATACTAAATTTTATCGTGTGTGAAGAGCGATGGAGATTGCAGTGCATCTGGCAAAGTTGGCGTGCACGTGGAGCGCAGCGGCTCCACGTCCCACAGTATCTGCATTCGCTTGTTAATACACGCACGCACCAGCACTGTACAGGAGGTGACAGACAGTCAATTACCTGAAAGCCCTTCGGATTGAGACTGCGGGGATTTTCAGAGGCCACCTTCAGCTTTCCATCCACCACTTTCATTAGACTCTCGGTGTTCCTTACATACTGTAGATCTCTGTATGTCCGCAGGTCTAGCACCTCCATCGACTGGCTGATGTTCTGAACCTGAGCACGCACGCATGCACACACACCACCACCACCACCACCACCAGAGGACACACACACACACACATACACACATGTCTTATGTTAATAACAATTTTTTAGCATTGATCTAAATCTAAAAGAAAAAGTCATTCCATTCCTCAGCAGACATTAGAGCTGAAACAATTTGTTGATTCATCGATTTGCTGATCATCAGAAAGTTATTGTGAATATTTTCTGGTTTTCTTTGTCTTCTGTGACAGCAAACTCAATATCTTGGGGGACAAAACAAGATATCACCTTGGACTTGAAACTAGGATGGACAAATTTGCTATTTGCTGATGGTGTACAGAAGAAATCATACATTGACAAAATAATCAATAAATTAATTGATAAGGAAAACCATTGCAGTGCTAGCTTGCCGTCTACAGTTCTGTGCTACAATCAGGGACAACTCAAATCTTCAAATTTTAGTCACTCCACATGGATCATTCAAATATAACCTGATGCTTTTCAGTCTCTCGTGCTCTCACTTCAACACTGACCTCATGACGAGGTTCAAGTTTGACTGAAGCCTCCTACACTCCAGTGTTTACATGGATCTTGCTCACATGCAGGTCAGATGAATTGAAAACTCTGAAATGCTCACAGGTGTGAATGTCTTGATCAGGCCGTAGGTTTGCCCTTCAACAAACTGCATGCTGGGATGGCTTGCAGCTCCCCAGGGATAAGCGTATATGGAAAAATGACTTTCCCCGAAGGCATCCATCTTTTGCAGTCCCTCATTTTTATATTTCAATTCATATATATATATATATATATATATATATCCTTATACATTTAAAAAAAATATCTACTTGAATTTTGTTAAAGTAGACTAGGTTCACATCATGTTCAACATCACATTAGCTTTAGCGTAATGTTGCTCCAAGTTTGCATTGAACTCTGAGGTAAAAGCTTCACACCTAGTATAATGATGGGCAATGGGAGTGTGGCAACAAAAATGTCACTACAGTGTGTCAATACTATAGTACATGAGCACTGAGCTTAGTCTGAGCCATTAAAACACCTAAAAGTACATAATATGTACAAAAACAGAATGAACAGGTAACAAACTGAGCAAAAAAAAAAAAAAAAAAAAGAAAAAAAAAAAAAAAAAAAAAAGGAAACAAAAAAGCAAGAATGAAAGGTGAGGAGGTCGAGAAAGCAGCACAGCTGTCAGAATATATCAGGAAAATACATAAAAAAGCACAACACATTCAACACAACATTCATACATTATGCAATAAAGGCCCAGAGCATCATTACGACAGTGTACACAAGTTAATAGATAGATATAATGTAATGCAAACGGTAAATCTTGTGGAGGAGCAAACATGTTGTCAAGTAGGTGTTTGTTGAATCTCAGTTCTGTTTTGTACTATATTTAATTTTTACTAAGTACTCAGCTTGCTCACTCTCTGACAGCCCACTCTGTTGCTGCATAACCAGCCTACTGTTTCATACACCCCCTCATCTCCTGCTTGCTGCACTGAGCTGAACTGGCCAGAAATCATCTGAACATTGACAAATGTTCATATAGGGGGCTCACATGTAGATATGCCCAATAACCCACACAAAGAGACATGCACAACTGAAACTCCCAAGCACACAGAAGATATTTATTCACATCACTCCCAACAAAAGCAAAAAAACGTCCCAACTCTCAAAGGTCACAGTTTGGCATAAAGTCTGTTTTTGCACCAAATGCCTTGTTTGCCTACTCTTTGACAGCCCACTCAATTACTCTGCGTCCAGCCTACTGTTTTCTATCCCCAACTCAGCTCCCACATGCTTCATGAACTAGCCAGGGAACATTTGATCAGAAAATATTTTCTTCACCAATTAAAAACTTTTCTGACAGACGTACAGATAGAGCAGTTGGAGGACATGTAAGAGTAAAATGTTCCACCAGCCTGGAGTCTAAACAAATGCAGTGACACCAGCCTTCGAGGTCGTGGTGGTACTTGGGATCGCTTCATCCTCTGAGCTGTGGTAACTGATCTGCACACACACACACATACAAACACACACATATACACACACACTGTGCATTTCACGCTTTTTTCTGGTCACATAAGATGCCCCCTCACCCTCACACTCCCCAGGACCCAATCAGTCTTGATCGTGTATCTGCCTCATGTCCAGTGTAATAACTCACCCTGTACCAAATCCTAAAGTGTGTTTGTGTGCATGCATGCCTGCCTGTGCCCTCCTATCTCATTTTATCTCATCCCAATCTAGTCAGTCAGAGAGAGAGAGAGAGAGAGAGAGAGAGAGAGGGCAGGGTGGGATGAGGTGTTCAAAAGTCTGCACCGTGAGCGTTCTCACACCACCACCGTCCTTCAGGGTCAGCTCTGCTTTGGATGGCATTTTGTCCGGCTTTGCAGAAAGCTGAATAGAATCTTTTGCACGCTACTTTACATTCTTTGAACAGAGGGCAGATTTGACATTGTTAGCGTATCCTTGGCTTTCTGTGTCAGGCAGAGCCTTTGTGGATCTGGTCTTCCCAAATAATTCCCTCCACATGCTCTGAGTTCAAATGAGGATGTCTTAGTGAGCATGGTGCTATTATGTAGACATACACTCAGACTCACACAGTCTTTTCAACTTGTGGCTTTCACTTGTGTGCAACTCAAATAGGGCCAACCCCAGGTGTCCTCATTAGGCTGGGCTGTGGACTGTATTAGACGGGGGAGCCTTTGGCTCTAATAACCAGTGGTCTTACAAGCAATGTGCATGTGCTGAAGGTAGACACACTAATATAAACACCCACACAGTCCAAGTCAACAATAATATATTTGCATTGATTATAGTGCTCAGTTTTTGTTGAGTTGGAGGGGCGGTGATTTCTGAAGTCTTATTTGTGTGTTGTGTAACATTGTAAGGGATGATATGTAGGACAATGCAGCAACACAAACTCTGCCCTCAAAAATGAGTCAATATTTACACCTTAACAAACAAATAACGTAGACTTCACAAGGGTTGTATTTATGGCATGGTTTCTCAACATGATATTTATACTTAAAGATCATCACTGTAAGGTTTGACTGATTTTCACTGAGAAATAGGCACTATTTTTTTCTTAAAAGAGCAGATAGGTTTAACCTGATATTCGGCTGTTTTATGTCTTCACCCAACCCAAAGGTTTGGTCTCTCTCTCTGCAAGAAGACACTGTTCGCCGAAGTTACATTAAGTACAAGATCAACATGTAATGTCGACAGCTCAGAAAATCTTTCTGGTGGCGGATACCTGTGAGTAAATACCAGTGAACAGCAGCAACTTACATCCCCCAAAATAAGTAAAACAAAAAAAGTTTTCATGCTGGAAATTGTTTTATTCAAAATCTGATTTTCATGTGAATTTTTGTGCTATGATTTTTTTATTAGTTACAAATTTTTAACAATCAAAATAAACACCCATAAAGTAGATGATTTCCTCGTTTCCTCCTCAATAATTGGACAGGTGTTAATTTATTCACCTGAGAATGAAGAAAACCATATGTGTGTAGATGCAATACATGCACGTACATGTTACAAGCACTGTGCCGTGCTGTCCTGCACTCTATAGACTTGCTGGAAAGTCAGCCTACATTTAATCTACAAATTCACCTGCCATGAGCTGTATGAGCAGCACCAACAATGTACATAACATTCTGGATTTCCTATATTTTTGATGCTGCAGAAACAGTATTTACACATTTACACACAGTATATAACAATTCCTATAAAGAAATACAGTGTATGCACAGCTGAGCACAATCGCTTTCTCTGAATAATTTTATCATGTTTGACTGTGTCTCTCCCAGAATATTCTTCCTGTGTTGGAATGTGCTGCTTTTAAAGTGTGAACTAGTGTGGATTTTGTTGGTGGGAACGTGTTCTTGAAACAGAAGCAGACGGAGACCGTCAGGGGAAAAGGCAAACTTCACTGAGAATGAATGCAATATGTGAATTCAGGTGTCTCATTGATCCATCAGGGCCTCAGAGCCTATTCAGCATCTCAATTTACCACCGACTCTCCTCACAAGACCACATCAATGTCAGCCCCTCCTGTCTTTACCCGCTTTCTTCTCATTCTCTGCTCCGTGGATCAAGTGTCTCGTTCGCCAATTTGCTGGTTTTAAATGTCCACCAAAAAAAAAAAAAAAAAAAAACTAAACAGTTTGCACGATGTGAATGAGCTGTGAGACGTGAGAACAGCAGCCCTGCGGCTCAGCTATTGGAAGCTATTAAAGATTAATTCTCAGGTTTTTATTGTTTAGTTTGGGAACGACAGGTGGGTAGGGATTGGACGGACGCTAATGTAGTATCTGCAAACCGCCAATCAATGCAGTTGCAGATCAGGAGAGACAACAAGTGGTTGTGAGCAGAGGTCCTCTCCTGGCCGCTCACCCTTGATCTGTGTGTGTGTTTATGCACTAGACACTAGCAGGAAAAATTACATTTGCATACACCGCAACAACACTCTACTCCATGTAAATAATACATAGAGTTATTGTCTGGTTGCCGTAACAGTGTGACATGCTGGAGGGTTTTGTGCGTCTACATGTTTTTGTTGTGTGACATTAAATGTATTTGCTGGTTTTACATGACACAAGTATGCACAAAAAATACTAATATTTTTCACAAAGGGAAAGAAAGAATGAGTAAGTATTCAGTGCAAGTGTGTCTGCAGCGTTTAGCGTGTAACTATGCAAACAAAGCTTTTGATATCGCCACTGATTTGTGAAACAGTTAATTTTCTTAATTTTTAGCAAATGGATTTATATTTATAAAAGAAACATTATAAGTCTAAGGCTCAATGAATCCAATTTCATGGGTAAATTCAAGACATTCCTCTTATTAAGGCAATGCATGCTTCATTCACTTTAAGCAACTCAGGAGAAAATAGTTCGCCCCACAATGGCAACAGTCTTCCGACTGCCTCCATGTTTATCTGCATGACTGATCAACTGTTGGCTAAAGGAAGTTTTAAAAAACGGTCACTTCAGCAGTCTGTATGTGAGACACCGCGCCAGACACGATCTCAGTGCGGTGCGGCAGCTTTGTGTTTGTGTGTCTGCGTGGGTATAACAGTCGTGTCTCAGAGTGAGTGTTTCATTGACAGCTGTCACCTTCTCCATGAGCTGGCGAAGCTGCCTGCTGCGTGGGTCGCGGTTACACATGTTCTGGGCCGGTGCGACCACGGTACAGATACACTTCCCATCTGCGTCCTGCGCCGAGCTGTAGATCTGCCAGCCCTCCTCTGGGCTCGGGTACAGAGCCTACAGAAACACACAGACATGTATATCTTAGACCAACAGAAGAGAGTGGTAGCTTCTGTCTGCTGTTGTTTATCTACACCGCTTCTAAGCAGGCTTTTCAAAATGCATGAGGGCAGACAAGATATTTTATTCTGCCATCATGTATCAACAGTAATCTGAAAAGTGTTCCACCCTTATAAAACATTTCTGAACTAATACATTTATCTAACACTTGAAAGTGTAGAAGAAAGTGTTTGGAGGGAAAAGAGACTCTTTAATGCATTCCATATCATGATTAGTTGTGCCCATTCTGTCACCATAAGTTAGCTGCACAGTCATAATTTCTCCATGGCATTCCCTTTCTCTCTTGCAACGCTGTCAAAAGTTACTCTTCCCCGAAGGCAATTAATGGCAATTGATCCCCCCAACTAATAAAACTCACTTGCAGTCTAATTTTAGTATTAACTGGGGAGCAACAGACAGAGAGAAAGATAAGCCAGAGATTGACTGAGGTAGCGTTCAGAGCAGTAAAGACACTGGACGACAGAGAGCAGGGATGGAAGAGTCCGATAGAAGATGGAAGAGAGGGAGAGAATAAGCAGAAATGGCCACAGATTAAGATAAGACAAGAACATTAGTGGAAAATACACAAAGGGATGAAAAACGCAACAGCACGACAGAGATAGAGTACGGGCTCGACGTTGAACGTAGAAAGACAAAGACAAATGGGAGGAAAATGGGGGGAATTCAAAGAAAAGGGGAAGGAGGAGGGATCAGGCCAGGCTGTGTGAAAGCAGAGCATCTAATAAGTTTGGACGTAGAGAGGAAATGGAGCTGTTTGGGATCGATAATGCTGCCCGTGATCAGGTGGAGGAGGGGCGAGGCTGAAAGGATGGATGTCTCTCTCTCTCTCTCTGACTAATCCAATCAAAAGTAGTGCTGTGTGCACCCGCAGGCACGTGCACACACATGTACACACACAGTTCACGTGAAAAAAGGCCCCGGCAGGGACGAGCCGTCCATTCACACTGCATCTACACACGCTCGGCAAATAAAGCAAAATGTAATGAGAGACAGAGCGGCCATTTTAGTGATGAAATTAAAGACCCATCCACATAAGTGGAAGGAAAAGGGCTGGAAATAAAATCTCGTGGCTCGGCTCTGTGCCGCTCCCCTGCTTTCCTCGGAGCACTGTTGTGCTGTGCTCTCGTCTCCTTGGGTCGGGGGGGATCAGATTAAAATGTCTTGGGGGACGCGGGGACTGTGTGATTGGAGTGTAAAGTAGCAACCACCCTGCGAGCCAATGTGCTCACTGTCACATCTTGTCACTCCTGCCAATCCCTTGGTACGCCACCCCCCCCCAACCCCCACCCCCTCTCTTTTCCTCTCCTGCACTTACTGCTGCCCCCCCTCTTTTCCTCTTCTGCACTCCCCTCCCCCCCCCCCCCCCCCCCCCCCAACTCTCAGAATGAGTGGATTTGAAATACGACTTAGTCAAATGAATTGTGGCAATCTGACTATAGCTACATGAGCAACTTAAATATGCTGTAATGTCAACCATAAGAATGGCTCATACAATTTTAAAATTAATACATCCAAATTTAATTAAACTAAGTAAGAGGTAATATTCTATTCTTATTTTCTATTCATGCGGTATTATACACATACATTAGTTACATTTCTGTATGACTGAATGCCTGCTGTGCACATGAATGACTCACAGTGGATCTTATTGGCTAAATTATTATGCCATTATTCTTAATATGGATGCATATTTTTTTATATTTTTGAGTTAGTGTGCTGCAGTGACTCGTGCAGTTTTTTTTTTTCTGTCAGTCAGCACCTTTCTTATCATTAATCCTCCTTCTTTAAGGCAACCCAGCTTCAGAAGCCTGTTAGGTGGAGAGATGACAGACGCCTACAGAGGCCAGTGCTGGAGTTAAGACAAAACAAAAAGAGGAAGCCTCCACAGTGAAACCTCCTCCAGTTTGTTTCAACTGCATCTGACTGTCTGCTTGATTCTGCCATTGCCTTGAGGGTGGGGGGGGGCTCTTTTCCTCTGTCTGCCTCCCTGCCTGCGTCTCACTCACTGTCAAGTCTTTGGATGTATTTTGTGTGTTTGAGTGCTCATGTGTGTTAAAGCCTTTCTATAAGTACGTCTGTACGTATCTGCTGATGTACATGCGACAGCAGCCCGCATGTGTGTGTGTGCTTGTACATACAGTATTTACACGGGTTTAATAATGCATGCATTTTGAAATGCATTTAAAACTTCATCTACCCTCAAGAGGGGAAAATCCCTGCATCTGTAGGGCATGATTACCGCAGATCTGTGGAGCATATGGCTGCTCCAGTGCTGTGTGAGGTATGTAAGACAGTGGATGGTGAGGCCACAGCGGGGCACACCAGCTTCTCATTACAGCTCATATCCTGCGGTGCTAACAGGTGGAGGTTAGCTTGTCTCAAACTGCAGAATCCACTTAAGTTACTCACTCGGAAGGTATATGCAGCCTCCTGCCTTCAATAAAATTACCTTATATCCTTACATGTGGGGCTAGTCTGCCTACGCACCAGATATTCACTTATTCTTTAGAAAGATTCTTGCGAACGAATGCAGAAGTGTGCATCAATTTTTCATACTGCTATCAGCTTGAAAGGGAGCCACAGTTGGTGTCTCACTTTTTTTTTTTTTTTAAATGATATATTACATAGTGGGCAGTTATAAGCAATATGTTCAAAATTCAACAAAGTAATTTTGGAGGTATGTCAGCTGCTTTATCATAATACTTTTCTTTCTTTCTTTTTTCTCCCCCCCCCTCTAACATGTTTAAGCTCATGCTGTGCTCCTGGTGAGCTTTTTCCCAAGCCGAGGAGTTTTCACAGCAACACATCCTCTCTTCTCTTCATTAATGTTTCATAAATGCTGGGCTGAAATTAAGAGCTTATTTGAATCAGTTCCAATTTCATTACCACCCACCTATCCATCCTGCACTAACCTCCCCATTCTCCTCGCAGTGGCAGTTTAGAAGGCAGGAAGGGGAGAGGTAATTCTTAAATGCAAATGTGTGTTGTCCCTATATGCTTGCAGGGAGATCTATGTGTCAGTGCTCGTGAGCAACTGATCACTCGGGGTTCAAGCGGTAAACTTGCGTATGTTTTGGAAGAGTGGCTTATTTATGTAAATATGATTAAAACCTCTCTCTGCAGTGAAGAATAGGTCATTGACATTGGTTCATTTAACTTGGTGTTGAAACCATGCAGCCGATCAGATATCTCATTAGTGTAGGAAAAACAACTTCCCCCGATATCTAATGTTATCTAGAATTATATTCAGATTATGCGGAGTGAAATGGAAAACGTGTAATGTTTGCATACCGCAGGCAGGTCAGGCCTCAGAGTGTTGCGTTTGAGTACTTTTGATAACATAACCTGTGCTATCATCATCATCGTGCTATCAGTGGTGGCTAGCTGGGAGCACTTCAGGTCTCGGGGATTATCCTCTCCTCCCAGACACAGACGACGGTGGTTTCAGGAGAGAGGAGGTGTTCACTTCACGGTCCCAGAAATTCATCCATTAGATGTGTGGGATGAAAGAGAATATGTAAGTGCCAGATTTGTAGCTGTCGCAGTCATGGCTGCCATGCAAAAGCCCATTAAGGAAGAAGACAGCAGCAATGAAAACAACAGGAAACCGCAGCAAGATGAGAAATCAATTGGGCTTGTTCGCTATAGAGAAAATTACTCTTTAAGGTTTCTGGTTTGCCCCTTTTGCACAACCTCCCTCTGTTTCCATGACATCACATCTGACAGCCCCACCGTCATGTGGTGGCATGTCCTTCAACCACAACATCCACCCCCACACCCCCCCCTAATAGAAAACCGATTAAAATGGGAGTTACTGATGCAGTGATAGGCAGAAAAAGGAATAGTTGTGGTTTAAAAAAAAAAGGCTGACAGGGAGGAGAGAGATGGCTCTAATTTCCTCTAGCTTAGTTCAAATGCTGCCCAGTTACAATGCTGAATGACAACTTCAGTAGAATCCCTGCTGAGAGAGGGGAAGAAGAGATGAGATGAGAGGGCGCGGTCATTACTAAGCTAAAAAGTAAAAATCAAATGCAAACCCAACATTTCTCCTCCGGTCTCCTCTACACTGCAGACAGAAGAGATTCCCCCGAATACATCACCCGCATCAGTCACTCACATGATAAGTGTATTTGTAGCTTAGTAGCAATCCTAATGAAAACTAACCAACTTGTGCCTTTTACCAAAACGATTCTCTCTGGTGCAAAGCAGCTCAGACCCGTTGTTATGTTAATGTTTAACAAAGTTCAGAGGGATTATCCAATTAGACATTTGAGCTGGTGGTATCACTGTCGAGAGTTGCAGGATGGACTTCCTCTGGCGTTTCATTAGCCCGACCCTGGAGCAGGCTGCTGTAAAGCCAGAGCTAAATGAGATCATAAATCTACAGCTCCCTACTTTATGAGCATGACGGGAAGTATATTATAACTTTCATAAGCGGCAGGCAAAGGGGGGAAAAACAGGCAGAAGTAGGCTCTGGAGAAGTCCTGAGATAAGGGGGGGGGTCTGACCGTTACACTGTCACGTCTGAGAAACTGCCACACTACAGGGGATGGACAGGGTAAGAGCAGGGCCGAGATAAAGTTGTATACAGAAAAAGAAAGAAGCATTTTGAGCAGGCATCAAAGTAAAACAGTCTGAGAGTCACAATAACAATCTAAGGTACTACCAGTGTAATCCATCTCTTTCCTCTGTTTCCATCCTGCAGTGCCAACTTTGTTTACCTAAGTTGTACAGCTTCACTTTCTTGTACTCTCTCTCTGCACAGTGGTGTTTTATGTCTGCCAATAACTTCTCTGAATGTTTGTCCCCGGCAAAGTAGAAACATCTGTCCCTGCCACACAGAGCTCACTTCTATCTACACTATGGCCAGAGAATCAGATCTCATTTTTGTTCAAATTTGCTGGGTATCACTGTAATTGGCCACACGCAGATAAACA